TAATATTGATAACAAGTTAAGTAATTAACCTATTTTGTTATCTTCGGATTTCTAAGGCCCCATTAGCTTAAAAAGGCGCTACCTATTACATTACATAAGCGCTTCCTAATATGTTATTATGGTTGATAACTAATTAAATAATTAACCAATTATGTTATTGTCGGATTTCTAAGGCTACATCAGCTTAAACTTTGGTAACGTTTTAGGCGTTACCTAATATGTTGATAATACTGATAATAAATTAAGTAATTAACCTATTTTGTTATCGTCGGATTTCTATGGACCTATCAGCTTTAAAAAGGTGATACCTATTATCTTACATAAGATCTACCTAATATGTTATTATGGTTGATAACAAATCAAGTAATTAACCGGTTATGTTATTGTCGGATTTCTAAGGCTCCATCAGCTTAAACTTTGATAACATTTTAGGCGTTACCTAATATGTTGATAATACTGATAACAAATTAAGTAATTAACCTATTTTGTTATCGTCGGATTTCTAAGGCCCCATCAGCTTTAAAAGGAGCTACCAAATATGTTATTATGGTTGATAATATTTCCAGTAATTAACTGATTATGTTAAAGTTGATATTTTTTTGGCGCATTTTACATACGACGATAACATTCTAGATTATTACCATTATTATTACCAACATAAATAATATTTATGGTTAAATCATATAACATTTCCGGCATCAATTTTAACCGGTTACTTATTTAACCAGTCACACTATTTTTTAGCCGTATTTTAACCACTTACAATAGAACTTCCCGTACTCCCCTCATTTCCCAATGTTCGCACCATTCAAATATCACGGCGTCCCATTTTCTTAAACTTACAACTTGATATAATGTCTAAATTCCTTAAGCATCTCAAACGAATAGTTTTGTTATGCTATAATTACTTTAAGATTAATTTACTTTTTTAATTAAAAATATTATTATATTCAATTTTAAATATTGTATAAATTTATAATATTATTTTGATTTAATCAAAAACTATTATATTATGGTAGTTTTAAAATTTACAACTGAAAAAGTTATATAATTTATAATAATTTTGATTATAATTAAAAATGTTATAAAAAAGTAAAATTTTCAACAAAAAATTTTACTAATCTAAAAAAAAAAAAATTGTGCCTTTAATAACATTTTCTGTTGCAACATATTTCTTCCGTTTTTTAGCTTTAGATTAATAAGTTGTGGTTTAGACTCTCATATAAGGATGCTTAATGAGTTGAGCAGTTTGAACTCGACTCGATCAATACTCGAATCGAACTGAAGACTTTAATGAGTTTAGTCGAGCAAGGTGCAACTCGACTAAATAAGTTTGCGAACAGTTCGTTAATTTTAATATTTTAATAGTTACCTTAGGAAATAATTACATTAAAATGTGTCTAAATAATAATTACTAATAGATAATAAAAAATGTTGAATTATTAATTACTAATAATAACTACTACTTTGTTAATCTATTAATTTTTTAATAAACAACAAGAAAAATATGAAATTATTAATTAATAATCACTAATTTACTATGTCTAAAAGCCATACCCTAATTGTCCTACTAAAAAAAGTTCATTGAACTTAACGATGAACGAGTTGATTATTATTCAACTTGCGATCAACTCGCTCGATAAGCGCTCCTAATCTCATATCCCAAATTGATGGATTTAAGTAAAGCAAAATGGTTGAATAGCATTAAGAAAACAGAGCATGAACATTAACTCACTTGCAAAGAAAGAAATGAGAATGAACTTTAAGCTATATTATAATGAGGTAATAACGATTTGTGACCTTTTCTTATCATACGAAGTTGAACCAGTTAAGAGAAATGATGATTGTGATTGACTCCATGAGAGAGAAAATGATGTGGTTTAAGACTTGCTTTACATGCCATCAGGATCTATGAGAGTGGGAAGAGACAATAGTCCTTGTAATTTCTTTTAATTTTTTATATTTTATATCTTTATATATTTTTTTATTAAAAAAATTATTTTTATCGTCTAATATTTTATAATTTCATTTCTTTATAAAATTTTATAGGTTCGCACCACTAATATAAAATTTTAGGTTATCTATACATGTCATATCTTTCGAGGTAAAATGTCTTCCTATGGAGTTTGGATTAGATAAAATTAACCACAAAATTAACCTTTTAACTTATTTACTTCTTTTTTTTAACTATTTTTAACCTATAGTGCTTCATGTTGACACCTTTGGTTTGCACTTCGTTAAAATTAACCTTTTAACTTGTTTACTACCTCAATTGGACTAGATATAAATTCTCACTTATCCGTTTTTATTTTTTTTTTATAATTAAGTATAATATATATATATATAAGAATAATTGGTTTCTAAATATTAGATATAGCTTATTGGTTAAGGCTTGCTTGATTACTAATTCATTTTGGATTCAAATACAATTAAGTCATTTTAATTTTTTTTTTTGCCTAAACTTGAACAATTTATATAACATATGTATTATCTTGATTATACCAATTTTATTAACTGTTACGTAAACACTTCCGTTAAGTGTTAATAGCAAGTGACTATATTAAAACCATTAAAATAGTTTGGTGGCTATATTGAAGTAAATTCGAAAATAGTGATCATTTCGAGACCAAAACCCATAGTTGGGTGGTCACTTATGCAGTTTACAATGTTAAACACCAAAATAAAAATATATATATATAGTTTAAGCATTTTTTATTAAGCCTTATTATTATTATTATTATTATGCGTTGAAAACGTAGGTATTGAAATTTTTTTCATTGACAATTATATTGTTTATATAAGTACATATCAAACTGTTTGTTAGTTACTTAACTAATTTTGTAACTAATAACACATACAAAACTGTTGTAACTAACCATAAATTATGGTCAAGCTAGCATCAATTTCATAACTGGATCCTCGGATATTCCAAGAACCACCCATGGAGTTTACTGCCACCTAACTGCAATTTGAGCAAGATAATATCTAAAATTGCTATATTTTCAATTTCTAATATAATATCAAATAGTAACCATAATATCTAACCATAGTTTGAAATTATAGTTTTATCCTTAAATACTATATTTTCAATTCACAATATAATATCTAAAATTGACAGTTTATTTTTTCAAAATCACTTTTTAAAAGCGTTAAATTTTAAACTAAACTTTTCAAAAAATACTTTTAAAAAATATTTTTTACAGCAGTTTTTAAATCACTTTTTAAAAATAATATCAAATTGTTTTTTTTTCTTTTTTTCCTCTTATTATTTAAAAAAGTTTCATTTAATATTTTCAGCATTAAGTGATAGCTTTAAATAGGTTAAGGGTTTCAATATTGTTTAAAATTTACGATTTAATCTTTATGTTTTGTTTTTTTAATTGAGTCATTGCACTATATTTTATTTAAAAATCTTAGTCATTCTGTATTTATTCAATTTAACCATTAACGATTGACCTTACAACTTTATAAAAAAGATCAATTAACTTTTTTAGTCCACTACATACATTTACATTTTAAGGGTCGAATTATTATAGATTAAATACTAAAAAGTTATTTTACCTTTTTTATAAATACCATGTTAACAATTAACATTATAATTGAATAAAATTAAGGGAAATAATTAAAATTTCAAATATAAATAATATAAAGGTTCAATCAGTGAAAATAAAGTACACACTAAAAGTGTACATAGATCCGTAACATTTATAAACTAAATAATAAATAGATCCTTATCTACTTTATTCACTTTTACATTTTTATAGAAAATCTATAAAAATATTTTATTGTTTATTATTAAATACGTCTAAAAATGTATCATTGAAAATATGTACTTTCAGTTGATTATATTTTTATAACACTTTATTAAACAAAAATCTTAGTTGAAGTTTGGTATAAGTAGGTTTATATGATCGGTTTTTCATTTTAATTTTTTTAAGAGTTAATTACATCATAGGTCCTCAAAGTATGACCCTCATTTTAATTGTTCATAAACTTTTAATTGTTCCAATTTCACACCTAAATTATGACTGTCATTCTTAATTGGTCCTCAAACTTTTGAATATTTCAATTTCATCCTCAAACTATTAATATCATTGTAAATTAATCCCTAAACATTTTAAAAATCCAATTTCATTCCAAACTATACATATATAGTAATCATATCCGTTGTTAACAAAATTGTTAAGTCAAGTTATATTATATATGTTTAAAAAAACAAAATTTAAGCTAAACTATGGTCGAAACTAATTATATATTTGGATGAATTTGAGAATGAAATTGAAATATTTAAAAGTTTAGGGACTAAATTAGAAAGAGGGTCCTAGTTTTGGGATGGAATTATAATGTGTAAAAGTTTGAGGACTAATTTAGAATGAGAATCATAGTGTTGGGATGAAATTAGAATATTCAAAAGATAAAGGATCAATTCAAAATAAGGCTTATAGTTTCGGGATATATAGGTGCAATTAACTCATTTTTAACCAAAGAAAAAAGTTTAGTATGTCCAAAATTTATACCGAAGCTCAAAACATTTAAAACTTATATCCATTACCAAACCCAAATTTAATTTAACATGTTGGAAAATTCAAATAGCCGACCCAACATTTACATTTGACAAGTAACTGTCTAATCATTTAATAGCGTTAAACAAAGATAACCATCTAATTATTTATTCAATTTCAAAGATTTTATTTTATTTTTATAAAATAAATCTGAAAACATGATCGGTTTATTTTGATGATAGATGTTTTAGGGAAAAGTCCATTTTACATAATTTGTTTTTTATGACATAAGATTGTGTTGGTTTAAGATTTTAGTTTTTAAATGTATGATTTAGAGTTTGCGGGAATAGAATTAAAAATTTATGATTTAGAGTTTAGATTTTTAAATGTTAAAATTTAAGAATAAAACAGACAAAATTTGTATAAAATATATATTACTTAGAATATATCAGATAACAGCCCATATCAAAATTATATTCCTTTACCAATCTTATTTCCTATGAACCAATATTAATCTTCGACTACAATGGAAGTAATTTTAACACTTGAAATTTCTTCCAAGGGTTGAATTTGGCCTTATTTAGAAATGGCATGCCTAGGTTTTGATAACCCCTAATGTTGCAGCCTGGAGGGATAACGAATGCTTAACGCCATCGATATGGAGATCGTGAATGCCTATCGGAATTCTTCGAACCCCGGACCGGTCCACGACACTAAGAAACTTGCACACATGAATATTGATTCCCACCCGTTGTTGAGACCCCGCTTTAACATGGACTTTCGCAAAGGCTACCAGCTGCTTATGTGGAGCCCAATGCCCGGCCGGTGGCATCCAGAATACTAGCATCGTGTGAGTACCGTCCTCGGAACCCGTATTTTTGACATCTACTTGAAGCCCTACAGAGAGCTTGTTGCATTTTGCATGATTAACTTTTATTGACTTTCCTGAAACAGTTGCATTTCCGGAATGATGGTGGCCATCGAGAGGGACGGAGACAACGGTGGGTGCACTAGCAATGGTATGAACGAAGTTGGTGTAACTCAATCCGTGACCAAATGGGTACACTACTGGACCTTTGTAGAACCTATAGGTTCTTCCGGGGTAGTTTCGGTTTGGGCTCGAACGCATTGCCATGTCGGTCATTAGAATATTTGAGACATAACCTTGTGGGTACCATGTCATTGGCAGCTTGCCTTCTGGCTTGGTTGTACCGTATAATACATCGGCTATGGCGGCTCCTCCAGCTTGGCCAGGGTATCCAGCCCACAAAATGGAACCAATACGTGGGTCATTGTTAGCGAAAGAGACATCGATAGGGCCACCGGACATCAAAACTAGTATGGTTGGACCCTTGGACGCCATTGCCACTTTAGAAATAAGTTCCTGTTGGCGACCGGGCAAAAGCAACTCTGTTCTGTCTTTGAACTCTGCTTCCATTGATTGGTCAAGTCCCATTACTAGTACCGTCGCATCCGCTTGACGGGCAGCATCGATTGCCCCGCTAAATAACTTGTCATCCACGCAAGCTACGTCGGCGCATCCCATTTGATGAATCGTCTTCGCATAATTCCCAACTCCTTGCAAAGGAGATGTGTAACCACATGCAACACCTAATGTTCCAACAACAAAAAAATGTTAACATGGCAACTCCTTTTGCACCCATTCACTGAAAGTGAAAAATAACAGTCACGAGCATCTACCGGCATAGTTTCCGATCATGGTAACGGTGGCGTTAGAGTTAGGTCCGATGACAGCAACGGTGCGATGGCGTAAGTGGGATAAAGGCAATGAAGGGCCACGATTTTTAAGCAGAACAATGCCTTGTCTTGCAGCTTCGAGGGCGAGCTGTTGGTGAGCAGGGGCACACACATCTTTTGGCCCCAAGTTCCCGAACGATTGTTCGGATGGCTCGCCGTCAAACATGCCTAGTCTCATTTGGACTGTTAGCGTGTTTACCAAGGCACTGTTAACATCAACCTCATTCAACAATCCTTTCGTTACTGCATTTTCAGTGTATTGCGCCAAGAAAGGTCCACAGTCCAAATCTAAACCTGCATTTCCCAAAATTTTACATTTTAGGTAAAAAAAAAGTAAAATTCTTATACATTTTAACCATATTCATGATTGAAAAGATAATTCTGATAGATAAAGCTTAGTATAATCATTATATGCAATGCAAATTCTGCACCAGAAAAACATGTTTACAGGCTAATGATATTGCAGGATTATGGTCACATTGGCCATAATTTGAGCCAGCTAGTTCAAAAGGAGACTAATGATCACATGCCATTACTTTTCGCAAGTTCCAATTAGCAAATAATTGGGTATACACATATAGTCTCCGACTATAGTATATTACTTTGTTAAGTTCTCTGTTTATTACAAATTGCAATTTGACCCATGATTATAGGATGTTGCTTTGTTGAGTCCATCAACTATTAAAAGTTACAAAATAATCATTGACTATTCATATATTTAAAACTCAACCATTTCATTAAAATTTATAACAGTTTGAGTTGGAAGTTAATTTATTGACTAAGATATAATAGTCATTTAAGATTTTATGATCAAATTTTATTATATCATGTTAGCATATTAACTTCAACTCGAACTATCATCAATTTTTTTAACAAAAAATGACGAGTTTGGAGAATTTGAATAGTCGAGTGACAATTTAGTAATTTTTAATAGTCGGAGACTCAACAAAGCATTATACTATAGTCAATAGATTAATTCATAACTTTTAATTGTCATGGTACTCAATAAAGTACCTCCCATAGTTGAGGGATCATTTGTCTACTTTACCCTAAATACTTATTGTTTAAGTTGACTAACCTGCTTTAATGGCATCTGCAGCTGCTTCTTCTGGTGTTGATGTGTAATGTTGGGTATTATAAAACACCCCGACCGAATCACAATCTGAAACAATGTACCTACGGATACCAATATCCAACCTTATATCAACAAAAATGATAATTAATCCAGACCATCCGGTGATGACGATGAACAATAATTGTGATTAGAGATTTAAATAGCGATATGTTATCGGATTAGTGGCCATTTGAAATCCGCTATTATAATAATCTCAATAAATGCAATGCAATTAAACACGGGACTACAATCACAATTTAAATCCCGATTGTGATATTGTATCTTACCCATTGAGATTCCATTGACCTCGTACAGTCTTCTTGAGGAGATTAGGGTCGGCACAGGTGGGGACACCATTGACTTGATTGTAAGAGCACATAACACTGGCTACATTGCCGTCCTGCACACACATTTTGAACGGCACGTCGAATGTGTCCTCCATGTCCTGCTTGCTTACCTTGGCATTAAAGTGAAACCTGTCGACTCCATTCCAGTTATCCAGGTCATACGCCGTGAAGTGCTTACAACAAGCCGCCACCTTCAACCGATCGCCGTTGTTTCCTTGTAAGCCTTTCACGTAGCTCGCTGCATATGTTCCGATCACCACCGGATCTTCACCGGGAGTCTCTTGTCCCCGTCCCCACCGTGGGTCTCTGAAAATATTCACGTTTGGGCTCCAGTATGTTAGCCCCGCTGCTCCTCCGTTGTACATCGCCCTTGCCTCATCTGACACTACCTGCGGCATCGGTTGCCTAACCTTTACCTTTTAGAATTCAAACATATGTTTTTATTTTGGTCAAATTCTTGTTTTAGTCCTTTCATTATGTTAAAATTGTAAAACAATCCTTTTACTATTATTATAGTCCTTTTTTAACACATAAAATTATATAAACTGATGAGCTAGAATATATATCGTTGAGAATATATATAGATAGATAAATATCAATATTTTAATTGGAGTAGTGAAATATTTAACTTAATTAGTGAAATTTCTAAATTGATAACAAAATTATATAAAATTTAAAAATATAAAAATTAAGTTCATAATTTAAATATAATAAGAGGAGCGAGCAAATTTAGAAACATTTTTTAAGGTGAATACATGTATATTAATAACATAAAATTTTTAAATGGTGTGAATACAAATAAAATTTCAATAAAATAAGTAACTAACAAAAGAAAATTCAGATTTTAATATCTATCCTCCAAAAACTGTGGATCCCTATTTGTTGGAGGAGCAAATCTGCAATTTACCATTTATATTCTAAACAAGCCATACGATTTGCGTCGACAATGATTATGCTATACTAGCAAGTTGATGAGATATGTTCTTTTTAGATAGTAACGTCGATATTCTCAATTTCTTTTAAAAAGGGAACAAACGAAACACTTCCTTTCTATGAAAATAACAAATCTAGATATTAACACTATTTTAAATTAAACAATCAGTTAATCTAATGAAACAATATATTAATTCTTTAAGTAAAATTAGGGATTCGAATCTTAATATTTGTATATCGAATGAATTAGATTAAGAGAATTATCCGGTAACAGCCTCTACAAAATCTGATCAGGATTACTTGATTAATAGATCGGATTAAAGTGATTAATTAAAAAAAATTATTAATAATAGCCCACCTATTCAAGTTGCATATTGTCCCATTGATTGACCAACCACTGGAATGGTAAAGCAGGTAAATTCCTAGCTGACAAGCAAAATAGTGGGGCTGGTATGATTTTTAATAAAAAGCTACGGTCTTTACGTAAAACAACAAAAAGAAAACATGTCGTGGTCAGAAAGCTGTAAATCTTAAAATTGTACCAAAATCTTTGTATTTCTATTTTATGATATTAATACTATTAATAAGCATTTGTGATAAAAAAAGAAGACTAAAAATATTACCCGTCCGATGGCTTCCCATAATGTTGCATTGAAAGAAGCGGCGGTCGTGATTACTTGAGGGAAGCTGGTGGCACCAGGGAAGGCGCCGCCGAACTTTGTTCCGGGTCCGACATTGGAGACCCCGTGAAGAGCCTCAGACCACCACTCGTACCCTTTGATCCCCAGACGTGGAACGGCTGCCGCATTGTTCATCAACAGCCTAACCTTCTCTTGCAACTTCAACCTCCCCAGAAGGTCCTTGACCCTATTGGATATCGGCATTGAGACCTTGCAAAATGGGAAGTTCGATGTCGTCGCGTCTTTTGGGTCGCAAGCGAACGGGTCACGGGCTTTGGCAAAAGCACCCAGGAGGAGTAGGAGTAGGAGAGTAATACTAATGATTTGGGATGGTGAAGCCATGGTGATGGGTGCCGAAGAAGAAGCAATGTGGATATGTTTTGTGATGGTACGACGCTGAAGAAGAAGAATGTATGGTATTTATATAGGTGAAGTTCGTGTGGTAAGAATGGAAATAAAGTGCTGCAACGAAACGAACTTTGATCATTACATGTTCAAACTAATTGTTGTTCAACAGCTTAAACTAATAAATAAATAAATATATAAATACATGAATGTCCATTCATGAACGAACGTAGAATTTTATGTTAAAATATGCAAACATAAGTTACATAAAAAATTTAGGAGGTATGAAATTAAATCATCAATAGAAAATATAGAGAAAATATCTAAACTAAAGATGAATTTAAAATTTTTAGGAGATGTAATCCTCGATCCATCCCTATATTATACATTAGTTATGATATTTAGGATGGTTGCATAATTTAAGATCGAAGAGATTGAAAGTGTGGGGGAGATGGGCATTGGTGGACCAGAGTTTCCAACGAATTAGGTCCGGTATGAGGGAATTATGTGTGCAATCAGGTGAGGTAGATCATCTGATTAACTTATAACCTACACATATACAAATACTAGTAGTAGAAGATTTCTTAATTAATTTAGCTGGAAACCATGTGTATACGGTGGGCCAAATAATTTCAGCTATGTGAGCAGTTATTCATTTACATATTTTTTTTATTTATTTAAATTATTATAAGGTAATTTATATTCAATAGGTTTTTAACTATTTAATAATCTGTTATACAGAATTTATAAACGTCGGATGGAGTGTGTGGTGAACGGCTAGGCTTTCAAGATAGGTCGGTTGCAGTCGAATGAATAGGACCAACAATTTTCGACACATATTGGATGGTCGAACGGTGCATGATTGTTTTCGGTTCAAGTATTTACGAGGGTTTTCGTATTATTTTAATTTTTTAAATTTAGTTTTGCTGCGAAATTAAATTATTTATTATAAAATTTTAGAGGGAATGGATTTATAAAATTTTAGAAGGTAAAAATAGATTTTTAATAAAAAATTCGTGAAAAAAAATCTAAAATATATATTAATTTGAAATTTTTAGGGGTGATACTCCCGACCCTCTTCGATCAATCCCTAAGGCAATTATTGAGATGTAAAACCTATTTTTGATACAAATACTCAAGAAGAGTGTCGATATCAATAGCTTGATATTGATACTTATGTATACGTATGTATTAGTACCATTAGTGAAAGCTTCCAACATATAGCAATGGCCTATTGCTGCAGTTGAACTTAGAATTTCATGCGGGTGGCTCAATTGCCCAAACTTTCTCCGATTGAAGTAAAAGAAGAAAAACAAAATTCTGCTACCAAACCCTCTTAGAAGACAATCAACTACAAAAAAACTAACCAAAATTGAAGCAAAATAGGGTATGGATTCTAGAAGAAAAAGGTTTGGTGACGCAACTCATTTACAAGCCAATAATGTAACACCAAAATCCGATTAAAACAAAACCCGGTGGGTTTGGGCATTATACGGGACCACCGAAGTGGTTAACCCAAAATATTTCACAAAATATTTCATTTTCCAAATCATAATTCATCGCATTTAAACAAAATAAGATGATAATAGTTAGGTTTATAGAACTGGGGAGCTCCCAAAAATAAATATCAAAATACAATAATCCAAAGTTATAACTCGAATACAAAAAGGGTCTATGAAATACATGCCCACTAAAATAATAAAGACGTACTTTACAACTGTTGATATCTGGAATCTGGCTGATTGGTGATATGTTCTCGAGTCCGGCACCTATTAACGTGTGAACGAAAACAATTCCGAACTCTAAGCTACGTCTCAGTGCCACATAAAAGACTCCGCAATCTATTAACTAATAATGCTAAAGATTGAACAACATTAGTAAGTTTATCAATCTTATCTTCAATGATTATCTAGTGAATCCATCAAGTGGATTTGTTAGAAGGGTGAAAATACTGAGCATTGGTAGAAAAAATTGAAATTAAATCCCTAGTCGCTTTAGGGGTCATGTTTACAAGGGTTCCTCTTCTAGTTGCATCGATCATTTTCATCTCTGCAGGGAGTAGTCCTTCATAAAAATATTGTAGGGGAGTTTCTTTCGACAAGCCATGTTGCAGACAATTGGCGCATAACTTTTTAAAGTGCTCCCAATAATCATATAATGATTTGCTATTATTTTTATTGAATCCCTACGATGCTACTCTTTAGTTGGTTTGCTTTAGCCACAGGGAAAAACCATTCAACAAATAAGCTAGATGTATCAGTCTATGTATCGATAAAACCAAGAGATAGAAAAAATAACCAATCCTTAACAAAATCTGCTAAGGAAAAAGGAAAAGCAAAGAGTTTTATTGGATCTTCAGAAACTTTCACTGATTTCATACTCGGTTAAAACATATAAAACTCTTTCAGATGTTTATACGGATTCTCATTTTACAAACCGTGAAAGGTCGTTAGATGGATCAAACTCATCTTTAATTTAAACGGTGTTTCACCGTTTGAGAACGTAATGCAAAGTTGTTGTTCATCAAGTACCACAATAAGCTCCTGGATCATTGGATCAACCATAAGTATTGATTCTTCATCGTTGGATGTGAATAAAGCTTCGGTGCAATAGATTTCTCTAACACTTGGATCGAGTTTCGATTGACATTATTGTTGTTGTTGTCTCCTTTGCCGAAGAGTTTCTCCATGTAATCTTCGGGTAAATGCTTCAATTTTATATTCGTAACTTCTTAATTCTTTAGGAAGCGACCTAGTCATAGATAAAAACAAGATAAATTTTAGTACTTTTGTTGAAGTCCACGACAACGATGCCAATTTGACATGCGTCGAATGTGTCAAATAAATAAATACTCTAATCTCAGAATAAGCAATGAAAAAAATATAAAAAAGTATAGGTCGATCCACAATGATTAAAGAAGTCTGAATAATTTGCTTGTTTTGATCCTTGGTTTTTAACTACAAAAGTAAAAATAGGGGGTTTAAAAATAATGTTTGTGATAAAATAATTAAAATAAATAATGAATGAAAATGATGAGAAAGTAAATAAAGTAAACAAAGTAGAAGAAATCAATTGGGATGATATCTCGTTAGACTTTGCTTAGTCTCAATTTTGATCGACTATCGAAATATATTTTCCCTCCTTGATGTACAACGATTACAGTTAATAAGGCCCGACCTTTGCAGCTAACTTTTATCTCCGATTAAACAAAATTTCCAAGTCTATCTCCTAAATATGGTCCTTATTGGTCTAACCACTTATATCATCGTTAGATCCAAAACAATTTTAAGTTCTGGAAAAGCTTGACTTGTTTTGTAGCTTCTTATCGAGAATCAAACTCGATATGGATTCCCCATAGCGGGCTGTCGCCAATTTAGTTCACAAGAAGCTGAATTACGATTAATTGATTCAACTTTCAAACTTCAAGAAAAAATAGTCTTCAAATCAACATGCACTTTTTGAGTTGAAGATGTAGTAACTTTTATGAGAATACCACTCTCAGTTTTCAGAGAATCGGAAAATCAAAGAATACAATATGATGGTACGAAGAAGAAGACTCAATTCTCACGATTAGAAATGAATTTCGCAAAAACTTTTGATCAAGTGGAAGCTTAGCTAAGCATGGATTAGATCATTCTTAGCATTTTGATGAAAAAATAAAAATAAAAGAAAAAGGTAAAAAGTATAAAAGAAAAATAAAACTTCTGTAAAATAACCAAGGAAATCACAAACTCCAATATGAGTTCAAAGCTTGACCCTAAGGAGTATCTATTCCTGAAAATCCTTAAAAGATAAATTAACTAAAAGATAAATAAGATAAATAAGATAAAAATATTCAAAATAAAATCCTAAATTTAAATCTAAAGGTTTATGAACAAAGATAAATACAAAACATTTAAAACTTGTTGCTCATTTGAATTATGCTTTATCTTTAGGATAACCTTCAATTATCTCGTAAGCATTTATCTTTAATAAAATTTTGAATTTGTCTTCAAGACAATGTAGGACCACCTTCTTGAAGATGATAACTTGATTTTCGAAAATTTGTCAAGTCAAAAAATGCCATACCCTAGGTCGTGCTCATGACTCTAACAACCCCCAAAAAATTATAGATTTTGTCTTTTCCCGACTAGTTCTGTCCAATTAACCCATATAATTTTTCTGCGCGAAAATAAGCCAAAATAGAATAAATCAGTAATATCCAATTGAAAATGAGAGCAAATGAAAAATAAATGAATGCAATATTCAACACTCATCAAATGCATGTAGTATAGTAGAGTTATTTATGTGACACTAGACTTGTTAGTTCATTATTTAGAATGTGTTTTCGTTCACAAGTTCTTAGGTGGAAATCGAGGACCACATCATCAGGTTAGAGTTCTATCCTTTCATGTTATTAGACTAAAATTGGATTATTATAGAGGTCATGTATTATTCATTGACTTTATGCCTATTTCAATCATAACTCTATTTTGTTATACTTGGTAATTATACTTAATTTGTAATATTTTGAGCTACATATTGTGTAAACTTAATTATTACTTATTTAATAAGATTTCATGTGACATTTAGATCCTCTAAATTCAAATCGAATCATATTAGCGTGTTACTAGAATTCTTGAAAATTGATACCAAATTAAACAAAGCTTGGATAGTAAAGGTTGCAAAGCTTGGATAGTAAGTTTTAGGATTAAACAAAGAAACCAATTTTAGCTAAATTAAAAAATAAGTCAAAACTTTTCTAAATCACTTAATAAAATAAGATAAATAATACATCTAATTTTAAATTATATAAAATACATAATTAATAGTTGTAAGTTGAATTTAATGATACAAAATCAATAAAATCATTAAAAAAAATTAATTATTTAAAATTCTCATGATATATCTTAAACTATCAAAATCTAATTTAAGTATTTTAGCATGTGTTAGAAAGATAATTGATAATCGGTCGATTCATTAGAAGGTATCTAAACCTAAAAAATACTCAAAATCTATCCAAAAATTCGTTGCAAATTAGATG